TGGTAATTGATGTAATATGTGGAATAAATATCATAACACTCTTTTATATTTATTTGATATAAAATATAAAAATAAAATGGTTATAAAATATAATTTTTTTATTTTAAAAGATAATAATATTACTAAATAAATATAAAAAATTTAAGTATATTCAATAATATCTTTTATTAAAATAATAGTATCATGATAAGTTTTACATTTATTTGATATTGAAGAATAAAATGATGATGATAAAGTTTTATATTTTTTCAAAAATAAAAAATAGAAGATAGGAAAGTTAGCTGTCTCAAATAATATTTTTTATTTATTAAAACCACGTGTTTAAGTTACTATGTATAAAAACATGAAAATAAGCACACTTTTGTCTTTAAATAAGGGGACTTATCGAAAAAAACCGACAACTTTGCAAAGAAAACATCAAAAGTTTAACCTTTAAAATAATTGAAGAATCTTGTTATGTAGTATTATATTTATTACATAAAATATCTTAGATATTTTAAACGGTTAAGATATTTATAAGTAACTAATCACATTTTTAGGTAAGGGGGTTATTTTTATTTTGCTTATAAATACAATGACAGGGCAAAAGTTCAGGTACGTTCTCTCTATGTTCTAGAGACCCTAAATAATATTTCAGAGTAGTAGTCGGAGTATCTTTGCAGGTACCTTCCCCTCCTTTGAAGAGTATGAACAACAACAATTGGAGAAGAGCAATCGTCCCAGACAATCAAAAGCAACAAAGATACATTGGAAAACATCTACACCGAAACAAATCTTAATTATGCTGTTCTATTGTACCATACCACTGCTCTCGTCGCTTCTCGATCAAAAAGCTGCCAGTTGCTCCTTCCATAATCCAGATATTTATTTTACAGCAAAGATTAGTTCGAAAACTTGAAATATGAGGTTTATAAGATTTTTTCTATGCAGTGTTTAATTTTATAACCACGTGAGACTTAAACATATTTTTCCTTTTCAGTGTGGGTGATAATTTATTGATGTTTTATATTTTTCCAGACATTATTTTCTACGCTATGAAAATTTTATCGAAAAAATTTAGTTTTGAAAATTTTACTCCAAAAGTTTTGAAAAATTTTCAAAATATATAATTTAAAAAGTTACTTTTACATGAAGTATAATATCGTTTTGAAATTTTGGAGGTGCGCGTAGAAATTGTAGGCGTGCAGAAAGTACAAGCCGACATGAAAATAAGAGCCTTTACACTATTCAATGGCTTGATAGGCTTATGCAGCCTTGTATGAAAAAATTGGCAAGTTTTATTTATATATTTATATACATACATATATATATATATACATACATATATATATATATATATATATATATGGATTCGTTAACGTGTGTATGCCTGTCTTTTTCTATTTTACCTATGTGTACAGTAGACAAAAATACTCTTATATATCATGGATTCTAACTTTTAAGGTTAAAGGTATTTTAATAATTTTCATTCTCAAAACTAAAAAAAAAAACCTCAAACCCTTACTCAATCCCCTCATTCCTCTCAACCCTTTCTCTTTCATCTCTCTCACTCCAACATTTTCTCTGTCATCCTATGATAATCCAACTGAAATAAATCAGAAACATTGACGGTTAAACAATCTTATGAAAAATGATTCTATAATGAGTTTTCATTTTATAACTTTTGTCTTATCTAATTTTATCCAATTTTCACAAACATAAACGAATTTGTAATTGACCTGGAAAACATAAAAAATACTTAGTTGTTAAACAATTTCTTATAAAAAATATTTTATAATGAGTTTTCATTTTATTTTATAATTTGTGTCTTATCTAATTTTCACAAACATAATGACATGAAAGGAATTGGTAATTGACCTGGAAAAAAATCAGAAACACTCATGGTTAAACAATTTCTTACAAAAAATGATTTTATAATGAGTTTTCATTTTATAATTTTTGTCGTATATAATTTTATCTAATTTTCACATATGATGAAATTATAGAGGTTAGGGAAGATGGTGAGATTGAAAAGATCCTGAATGAACATTTGGCTAAAGGTGAATATGTTAATGACTCAACCCTTTACAAAGTCAAAATTGTTTAACTACAGTTGTTTACGATTTTTTCAATTGGGACTACAGGGATGATAGAAAAAAGATTGAAGTGAG